TGGTTGTCGTAGAGATCCAAACGAGTCAATCGGTTTAAATCACCAAAACTTTGCGGTAATTCTGTTAATCGGTTTTTACTCAAATCCAATACAACTAAATGTGTTAACGATGTGAACGAGTCCTTCGCGTGACATATAGTAAAGACAATACGGTATGAGTTGTGGACATCATATGAGCCAATGATAACGTATTGAAGACATACTGACCGGCAGTTTAATGAGTGCATTGTTGGACAGGTCTATGCGTTTGGCCATTGGATTCTTCTTCAGATCCTCCACCGGAACCTCTTTCAGTGACAATAGAGACAAATCCCAATCACTTCCATCCATAGTGTGGTCGTGTTTACGTAATTTAGACATTGGATCCGATGTGTGGTGATCTTCGCGACTGATTTCACACAAGTGTTGAGACAAACAGTGGTTTAGTGTTGACGTCGACTCAAACACTAACAGCCAATCAAATGGCAAACAAATTCACATTCAATTATTGGGCGCCAAATACTAACACAACTTAAGTCTTAACACTTCTTACTTCACTATATTTGCTGTTTATCTTCATTTTAACCATCATTTCCATCATTATTATCATTACCAAACATCACCACTCGTTATCACCACTTTGTTCCAACACTTCCCTATTGTGATCCATTTTAATCAATATAATATTGATGTTATTCTTAAAGTTTCAAAGTTTTAAATAAACTTGTATTAATTATTATATTTATTGTAATTAACTGATTTAAACATTATAATTACCAATAAGAATCATTTTTTAGTGAATTAACATTTTTACACCATCTTATTTTTGTTGTCCAATTAATAAGTGTTTTGTTAAACTAATTGAATGTTTTGCTCGTAATGTTCATTGGCTTCAAATCTAACTTTAATAACATTTAAAATCCAATTCCCATTAAGTGATCCATTGGTGACAATCAGATGTTTGAATTCTTGGCATAGATTAATACCTACAGATCACCACTTAATGAGTCTATTCTTTGAGCCAATTCTTTGCCTTTAATTCATTTTTCATTGTAAAATAAGTTACTTTCAAATTAACTAAAAGTCTGTGAAGTTGTGGGAAAAAATGCGAGAAATAGAGAGAATATTTGAGTAAATTATACATTTGTGTTGTTTTTGATTACATTTCTTTGGAAAATTAGAGGAAATACTTTTGAAACGCTTTTAATGGGCGGAAAAGCGCTAAATATAAGAAACGGCGAAAATGAAAGCCAAACCAATGTTATTGTGAAGAGAATAGAAATTTCAATATAAACGCAAAAATAGCGAGAATTGAGACAAACGTATAATTAGGAGAAGCGCTGGTATTATGATTTGGGGCCACAATGAGGCCCAACTCTGTACTGTATACACAGTAAATA